CTGGAAACTACCAGCCAATAGGAGTTGAGAAATTGGTCTGGGAGATGGGGCAGCAGAAAAGAACCATGTGTGGGGAGTGAGCCTGCAGCTCTAAGTGATCTGAGGCTGCAGCAGGCAAGGAGCCCAGCCTGCCTTGGGAGTGCTGCAGGCCTGCTAGCTTAGGTAAGCGCCTCCCAGTCAGAGCCTCCCTCTGGCACCCCGTCCCTGCCACACGCCAGCTCCCTCCCCAGGTCACCATCCAAGCCCTCTGGAGTCCCCTGCCCCAGGTCACAACTCCTTCCCAGGCTCTGTACCCTCTTCCAACACTCCTTCTCCAGGCCAGAATCCTCTCATGCTCCCAAACATCCTCCCAGTCCCTGTACTCCAATCCCTTGCACCAGGTCACCACCCAAACCTTCTGCAGTCTACATCCCCTTTTCCCTTTCTCCCAGGTCACAATTCCCTCTCAGACTTTGCACTTCCTCCTAGCTCCTCCCAGAGGCCAGAATCCTCTCCTGCACCAATACTCTTCCCCCTCCCTCATCCTACACCCCAATAGATATGTTATAGTGTAGTCGATTAACTGATAAGCAAAAGGTTATAGGTTAATGCTGTAGACTACACCCATTCTCTCCCTCTCCTTGCCAGTAAATTTTTGAGCAGGCTGGCCAGCATTTCGGCTCTGTTCTGGATCACACTGGGTCCAGAACCTACTTCTGCTGTGGCTCTGCATTTAAAATGTATTAGGAGCCAAGCAGGCAACAGCCCGGCTCAGTTCCAGCTTATGCTGGGTCTGGGAGCTCAGATTCCCCTTAGACAGGGTCTGCTGCCTCTTTATCAGAGGCGGCAGCACTGGGCGACAGGCAGCTGGTCCACAAGGGGAGCTGTTTTTTTAAACTGGTTCTCCTCGTGGATCAACTCCTGCCTGCTCCCCCCCACTCTGCTGCCTCTGATATAGCGGAATAGTCGGCTAATCAGTAAGAATTCATGAGGTTACTCGACTGTTCTGTTAATTAATATTTAACATCCCTACGCCCCAATCCCCTCACCCAGGTCACAATTGCCTTCTTACCCAAACTCCCTCTCAGAACTCTCACCATCTCCTGCACCCCAGTCCCTCATCTCGTGCACCCTTCTGCACCCAACCTCCACCCCAGTTCCCACATCACTTCCCAAAATCTTGGAGTGCACCCCCCCACCACAAGTTATTGTCCACCCCGAGATAGACCCTAGCAAATAATACTGAACAGTTAGGCTGCATCTAGACCGGCAAGTTTTGAGTGTCTACACTGGCTGCTTGAATTTCTGCAAGAACACTGACGATCTCATGTAAGAAATCAGTGCTTCTTACGGAAATACTATGCTGCTCCCGTTCGGGCAAAAGTCCTTTTGCGCAAAAGGGCCAGTGTAGACAGCTCAGATTTGTTTTGAGCAAAAAAGCCCCGATTGTGAAAATGGCGATTGGGGCTTTTTTGCGCAAAAGCGTGTCTAGATTGGCATGGACGCTTTTCCGCAAAAAGTGCTTTTGTGGAAAAGCATCTGTGCCAATCTAGACACTCTTTTCCCCAAATGCTTTTAACGGAAAACTTTTCCGTTAAAAGCATGTGCAGAAAATCATGCCAGTCTAGACGTAGCCTTACTGTGATCAGGCGAGCAAATGAAGCTAAGGGTCTCTTCTAACAATCTGGTACACAAAAATGACTACTTAGGGTTTTCTCACACCAAAATCCATTGAGTTTGTTGTGGAGGAGACAGTTCTTTATCATGGCTTTTAGTGGAAACAGGTGTGTGCAAGTTCTTGTGAAACTGGAAGAGAGAAAGAGGAGTACTTCAAAGCAGCAGTGCTGCACAGAGCCTGGTATCAGCTGGGAACTCCGGGCTCTGTGGTGCTGCTGCTTTGAAATGCTGCGGCATCGGGCTCTCCGTGCATTTCAAAGTGGCAGTGCTGCGTGGAGCCCGGGATCAGCTGGGGACTGACCCTGGGCTCCACGCGGCACTGCTGCTCTGAAATATGTGAAGAGTCCGATGCCGGGCTCCCCGCAGTGTTTCAAAGCAGCAGCATTGTGTGGATCCTGGAGTCAGCGTGGGAGTCCCTAGCTGACTCCGGGCTTCGGCACTTTCACCTTTGAAGTGTAGCAACAGCCCTTCGATTAGTCAACCCAATACTTAACATCCGTATCTCTAAGGTGCCATAGGACTAGTTGTTGCATATAAAACAATGGTGCTCAGTCTTGAGCAACTGTACAAGTTTACTTTTGACTGTATTAGTCAGTGCTTGTTGTCTTCCATTAAATGCCCATTCTAATCCCAACATGGCAACACCAAACCCTGGTCTTAAGGCCCAATTAGCCCAATTTTCAGTGTGGTTCAAGTGTGCATGATTTATGGGAAATAGGATTTTTTTAGGGCAATGTTTCTCAACCAGTGGTTTGAGTACCCCTAAGGGGTACTCAGAGAAGTCTGGAGGTACGTCAACACAATTGAAATTTGGAGAAAGCTGAATTTTTGTTTTACAGTGTTTTATTTTTGTACTTTTTACACACACAAATTTAATCACCCACATGGTTATGATTAAGTTGTTTAAATAAATCTGTTGCAATGGTAGAAATTTTTTTGTCTGAAAACTGTAGGCACTGGGGGTACTTGAACTTTTTTTGAAAAAGGGGTACTTTATTTTAAAAAAGGTTGAGAAACACTGTTTCAGGGTATCTGCTGGGTATGTCTTCTATGGCAATATTGGCCAGGAACTGAAAGTTGAGGACAGTTGCAATGGATCACTTGATCTCTAACCTGCATTTCTGTTCATGCCATTTTTCTTTTCTGAGGCGTAGGTGAGGAACAGATAGAACTAGATTCTTTTCCAGAAGAAGGAATTAAATGGGATTCAGGAAATACACTGAATAAAAGACAAAGTATCACCATTTGTTTCATCTCTTCCAATAGGACTCAGCATTTTTTTTCTCTCTCTCAGGTGTAGGTAAAAGCAGTTTGCTGTTACGCTTTGCGGATAATACTTTCTCAGGTGAGTATTCCCTTTCCTCCTCTGGTGAACTTGCTGAGGGCTCTCCTGGCCCTGCCCCATCATTTGAGAACTGTCATCCTGGGGCTCACTTAATCTGGTTTTGCTAGATTGGAAATCTTTTATCTTCCCAGCTCCATTTCTCTTGCCATAATCACACACAATTTTCACTTTAATTGTGAAAGTCCCATAATGTCTAGATCAGTGTGACTCCTGTGGAAGAGTTCCATTTTTAAAATGTTTGTTGCACCAAGCAGACATCTGTCCATTGATCCAGTGGGATTAGACTTGAGTACTAACATTAAATCATTGTACAGTAAAACCTGTGTTATCTGGCACACTCGGGGATTAAGATGTTCCAGTTATCTAAAAATTTCGGTTATCTAAAAATTCCAGTTATCTGAAGGTCCTATCAACCTAGGAAAAACCAATGGACAAAAGTAGTAAAATTCAAGTTTTTAATATTGATAGTTTTGTAGTGTGAGGCAGTTGGTCTCACATTTCTATTTTGAGTTAAAGATGATTACTACTTCTTAAATAAAAAAAAATTAAGTCAGTCATGGTAAACCAAGCCAGACCTGTGCGCCTGAAGATGTTACAGTGTTGTGGCTAGGGGCAATGCCGGTTAACAAAGATTTCTGATTAACAGAGTGCCGGATTTCAAAGGTTTCACTGTAATGCAATTCTTTGTAACATGATTTAAAGTTAT